CCCCCCACCTAAGAAGCAGGTGAGCAATGTCGTCATCCCTGTCCATTCTCGATATGGAAACTGAAGGACAGTGACTCAATCATTTGTTCCAGGTCACAAACTTAAAGGCTCATTTGAACCCAGGCAGCCTGATGCCAGCATCCCTGGGCCCCTTTGCTCAACCCTCTCAAAATACTCACATCTGCTTCCAAAATTTTGGAGGTCTGTTCTTTTATTCGTTGATGCCACCATTTCTCTACATCTTTTCTTGTCTGCAACGTATACTCCTTAGTCCACTTTCCTGTGGCACTGTAAATACCTCTACTACATCTTGGAATCACTCTCTTTCCCCATCTGATGACATCTGGCCCACCATCCAATTGCTTTTTCAGAAGAGAGGCATAAAGACCCAGTCTCTGCCAAGCAGAAGCCATTCTTCAAAAGGCGGGAAGGCCTGCAAAAGAGAGCAGAAAGTACTCAGGAGCTGTGGGACACCCCTCTCAGCACAGCCCTCCTCCCCAGTTTGCCCTTCCAATCAGCTCAGCTGTGTTCCCAGCTCTTCGGGCTTTCTTTCTAATTTTGATGATTTCTTTCCTTTGAAAGAATACTTAAAAGGACCTTCCCTGGTGGTGCAACGTGTTAGGATGCAGCACTGCAAGCTAGCTGCAGCTGCTTCAGTGCAAGTTCAATACTCACCCAGAGGTAACCCACATGGTGCAGCAGACCTCTCCTGACCCACCCGCTACGCCCCTCAGCAGTGTACTTAGTGGAATTGCCTGTTTGGCTCCCCACTCTGTCTCTGGTGAATCCTCTCACTGCCCCTGCACCTCTGGCCTGCACCTCAGTTCTGTATGCATAAATAAATAAATCTTTTTTAAAAAGGCATTCAACCAAGCTACACACACACTTTTCAGTTAATATGTAAAAGTACTCGTACTCACACATACCAGAGATACAAAGCCCTGTTGGAACAAGTGGAGACCACCAGAATCAGCTCCTGCCTGACCTCAGATTGCATCGGGTGTAACAGATTGCATGAGTGTAGCGTAGGGGTGGAGAGGCATGGGACCCTCCTTCTCTCCCATTTAAGCCAGCTCAGGGTTTGCCCAGGAGGCTTCACAAGAACTTCAAAGACATCTTGGTTTGGCCTTAGGCTCAAATATCAGAAGGGTCTGAACACGGGTCTCCTAAGAGGACCAGAGACTTTGAGGCATTATTGGCATTTTTTAACATTTATTGTAACTTAAAACACTCCGTAGTCTGAGCCAGAAAACAACTATCTTAGAAGACTATTTATTTCTTCATCCATTTACCAAATACTTACTGAGTAGGTCCATCTGCTGTTCAAGGCCCTGGGGATTTAGCAGTGAACAAAATCAGTTTCTTTTCTCCTGTCACTTACATACTAAGAGAAACAAATAAATATAAAATACATGTGTATGTATAAGAGTCATGAGGGCAATAGGCTTTTTTCAGAATCCAATCTATAATTTGGGGATCACCAGTATATTCAGTTGGGATTCAAAATTCAACTTGAATGGTTCATTGCTTTCCTCCACATGCAAACTTCAGTAATGAACTCATGGAAGAAGTTTCATATTTTATCACTGTTTAAAACGCTGAGGTGACAGTTCATCAAATATTTAAGGTTTATGACTAAACAGATTTCATCGTCTACCTTCTTGTAGAACAGCAGTGGAGAAATTCTATAGCAAAAAAAGGGTGAAGACATCTTTCAAAATGAAGAAATCCAAACCTGCATCCCACAGCTGGTGTTAATTCTTTGACTCTCAAAAATACTTCCACATTTACTAGGGTTTGGCCTGACTCATGAAGATACTAGGTTCTGAATGTAGCCAAAGAGGGTACACTACAGGCTGATACAAGTGGGTTTCACACTCATACAAAATACAAAATTATTGTTGGCATTTTACAAGGTTATCTGTCAAAGTTTTTGACATGCCAATTCTCTCTGTACTTAACACCTCTTACTTCTTTGGGGACAGAGTCAGACAAAAAAAGGTTTCCACAAAGAAATACCCTATCTCTTGGGCATGGCTATTTTAAAGTGTGTAAAAAGTGACTGCAGATATTAGAGCAAACTATTTGAAGCCAGTTGAAAATTAGTCCTTTAAATGACCAAGTTACTATATAGACCCTTAGCACAATTAAGAAGATTGTATTTATTTTTAAGGGTTGGATTTCTATATAATTAGAGCTATCCTCAGGAAACATGGGTTTTATGGCTCCCTTACTAAGTCACCATTTCCATATCTTTGCAAACCAAGAATGCCAGTTTGGCAGAAAGAGAATAGAGTGAGTACTGCCATTTCTCTTCTAGATTACAATCCCTAAGATCATATAAAGACAGTGTTTTGGACTATCTTCTCAAATAAAACCAATGGGAAGCAGCCAAATTATAAAAATGCAAACTGCAATCAGCCTTACAAGTTTTTGGTTTCAAAGCTGGTCAGCCATTATAACATTAGCTACATGAGCAATGAGGAGAAAGGTCATACTTTCACTTAAAATGCTAACCCTATCTTTACCACTTACTTATACCAAGCACCAAATTGTAAACAACACTTAACATTCCCAGTCAGCACTAGAATAAGCTTTCTAAAAATGTTTATATAATACCTGGCTCGCTAATAACCTTTCCTTTGCTTAAACCAATGAAATAGGCTAGAGAATCCTGAAACAGATATGGGTGTTTAAACGACCTTAAAGTTCATATTGAAAAAAGCAAAGGTAGATTAGAAAGTGACAGATTATTCAATAAATGTAGAGAAAACTCAAAGCTTTCAGCTCACACCATAAACCAGAATAAATTTCATATGAAGAATTTTTTAGGGCCCTCCCTGGAGGCACAGTGGGTTAAAGCACAGCACTACAAGCTAGCCACAGATGCTTCAGTACAAGTTCAATCCCCCACCCAGGAGGGGACCCACATGGTGCGGCAGACCTCTTCTGTCCAGCTCACTGCTCCCCTCAGCAGTGTATTTCACTTGAGCTGCCTGTTCTGCTCCCCACTCTGTCTCTGGTGAATCCTCTCACCCACCCTGCACCTCTGGCCTGTGCCCCAGTTCTATATACATAAAATAAGTAAATTAAAACAAAACAAAAAAAAATTTTTAAGGGCCTCCCTGGTGGCGGAAGGGGTTAAGTCTGAGCACTGTGAAGCTATTAGCAGCCATGAGTTTGATCCCCAGCCAGGAATCTAATCCACATACTGCAGCAGACCTCTCCTGTCTCACCCACGCCTCCCCCCTCAGCAGTGTATTTCAGTAGATTCACCAATTCTGCTCCCCATACCCACACCCTCCGCACCTCTGGCCTATACCCCAGTTCTTGTATGCATAAATAAATAAAAGAATTTTTTAAACTATATCATAAAATAAAAATCTTCACAAGGTATCATGCTCAGGACATAGCATTCACAAAGGAAAATGCTAATAAATATGACCCTTTACGAATGTAAAATATCTAGATAGCAAAAGTGTTATGACTGGTATTAGAAAACAAACAATAAGCTGAGAGGAAATGTTTGCCAAAACTACAACAAAAGTTCCTCCTAGAAGAGTTCACACATGAGAAGAAAAACACCAAACGTCCAGTTATAAAATAAATGTCATGGTGATGTAATCTTGCTAAGAGTAGATCTGAAAAGTTCTCATCACAAGAAAAAAATGTTGTGTAACTATGTTTGGTGACAGATGTTAACTAGACTTGCTGTGGTAATAAATTTACAATATGTACAAATATTGAAGCATTATATTATACACCTGAGACGAATGTTATATGCCAATTAGACTTCAATTAAAAAGAAAATAGATTTGATTTGAAGTAAATAAATCAATAAGGTGGGCAAAAGAAAAAGGAAAGGAGGAAATACAAATGGCTACTAAATATATTTTAAAAGTTCAACTTCAGAACTAATCCAAAAATTGCAAATTAAAACAATGATATATTTTGCTTATCATCTTGACAAAAACACGTTAAATGACAAGATGTGTATTTTTATACTCTGAGAGTGCGAATGCAAACTGGTTCCACATCTCTGGGTGACAGTCTGAGAATATGAGACAAGGCTCTGTAAGAAAAGCTCACAACTTGTTTTAGGGGATCCCAAGGCTCGGCAGAACTCAGCTTGTGGTATATTTGATAGAAACTGGGTCAGGGGTCGGAGACGAGTCCTAAAATGCTGCGACCATGACCTCTGGGCCAGAGAGATGCACTAAATGGCATTTAACTGAGTTCAACCCCTTCCCCACCGCCCCCAGCCCAGGAAGCAAAAACTCAGAGATGCGCCGAAACTGGGGAAGGGAACTCGAGCACAAGACTATGTGTACACGTGCAGATTTGCCTATAAAGGGTCCAGAGCTACCCACGAGGCCAGTGGCTCAGAGTCTGAGACCCTGAGCTCCGAGACTCATTTCGGAGACTGCACTGGTCCGCCCCTTCCCTTCCAGACCCTAGCAAGTCCGAACCTCCCGGCCCCGCGGGAAAGGTCATCGAAACTCGTCTCTAGTCCCTCAGAGTTCTGGTCAGGGGTTTACCTGCCCATAGGCTATGGCCTGCGGCTGCTAACGCTGAAATGCCACCTTAGGAGATCACAGTCCGGGAGTCACCGTGGGCGCCGCCATGTTGTCAGAACAAAAACTTTATTGATAGCGGCCGCCGAAAACATAGACAAGCGAGGAGGAGCTGGGTGAGGGTGAGTGACATCAGGTCCTGTGTCCAGGCTGACAGCCGGGTGTCTGCTTAAGGCTGGCAGACTCTACCCTCTCTAACTCCCAGCCTGTCTCGGATGCTGCCCTCCAGCCCCAAATCCCACCCTTTGATTCTGTCCTCAACCTCTCTTGTGGGGACAGAAAAACTTTATATAGACACTTGGGGATCAAATTATTACTACTGTAGCAGAAGTGTGAGAGCCACACATTTAGTGACCCAAGAAGAAAATAGGCAGAGGTAGTGTGAAGAGCACAGAAGGAATCCTGAGGCTTAGGTTAAACTCCCAGTTTGGCCAGATCTCTCCAATCTCTTCATCTTTAGTGGGACACACAGTGATTTAGGCATCTCAGTTCCACCTTATTCCATGATCTTCTAGCCCAGAGGGTGGGTTGGGTGAGGGGGAATTACCTGGCCAAGATAGGAGATAAAATGTTCTTTTCTCATCTGGCACATGATCTGGGTGGGGGTCAAGAGAGCAGGATTTCTGGGGAGTTTATGTATCCCACCTCTTCCCACCCTGACAAGTGTTACTTGCTCTAAAGAATGAACAAATTAAAGTATACATTCCAAAATGGAGAGCTTGTCTAAAGAAAATTTTGAAGAACTCTTGTATGTGGGCAATCGTAAATACTGAAATGAATTTGCTAGTTGTGTAAAACTGGTTGATATCCTATAGGTCAAAAAAGTAATGAGTAATATTTGTGAGTCATTTTTTTTCTATATGACTGAAATCAGTTGTACCACTATCAAACAAAATTCATCCCATTACTAGCTATGTTCTATATTGTCACTTCTATTCTCATAGAGCTGAACAATAGAAGACAACTTAAGGTGCACACACAGCATCACATAATCTCCAGACTAATCTCCCACCCAAGGGACTGACGTCATCTCTTGCACCTATTCTTTAACAAAATTTCCTGGCAGCTCAAAACCCAAATACTTTATTATTCAAAGTGTGATCTCCAGCATCAGAGTCACCTGGAAACTTGCTAAAAATGTAGAATCTCTGTCCCTACCCAAGACTTGCAGAATGAGACTGAATTTTACAAGATTCCCAGGAGATCCTTAGATTGAGGTTTGAGACACTGTTTTTATAATGAGACAATTTGGACGGGTTTGGAGGACACTGTAGTGCAAGCTGTTCATTTTACAGATGAATAAACTAATTTCCAACAAAGCTGATAGTTTAACAAAAGGTCATATACAAATTAGTAAAAGATTTGAAATTCAATCTGGTTATCTAGTCTGCTAGAACATCACTCCTCCCAAATTACAGAATGGAAGCTCATAAGGAGGTTAGACAACCGCCAATCTGTTCCTCGAGGTAAGAAATGAGGACAATGAGGTCCAGCGCTTAGACACTGCCTGCTAATTGGTGGCAGGTCAAGGATCCATCCAAGTCTCCTGATCTCTCTACTCCTGAAACCAGGTGCTGAATTTCAGCTGATGCAGAAATGTTGACTTCACACTAACATGCCACGCTTAATTTAATTTAACCTTTAGGTGTGTTATGCTACATCCATACTTAACTAGAGTACTTTTCTCTAATTCCCCACATATTAAGTTCCAAACAGCCTTTCCCCTAACAATGATTTACAAATTAAAGTTAACGTTGATGAAAGACCAAACTGACGCCATGACAGGCTTCAGAATGCTTCTGAACCAGCCAGGCCTAAGTTTCAGTTATCAACAAGGTGCCAAGGCCGAGTTTAACTGTAAATGTCCTAATCTTGCTCATCCCATAGCAACAGCCAGGGTTAAGACAAGATCACTTTGTTCAATGTCCACCAATCAATGTACTGCTGAGCAAAAACTCCCCTTTGCTGAGCTGAAACTCCCCTCTTCTGTAATAAAAACCATGCCTTCTCAACTTCAGCTGCTGTGTCACTGCATGTTGGGAGCCCAGGCTCGAGCTTGCAATAAAGACCCTTGTGTGCTTTGCATCGGAATTGGCTCCTTGGTGGTCTTTGGGAAACTCGAAACCTGGCACAACATTGACATTTCTAGAATATTTTTTTTAATGTTCTAAAAATCACTTGCTTAACTAGACAGTGAATGTTTTTACATCAAAAGGACAGTAGCTTGAAAGTAACTTTCTTTTACTTTTAAAGAGCTTGCTGCAAAGATGTAGTATTAAATGAAAGAAACAAATTGTAGAGTGCTGTAAAAAGTTATCTGCTTTTTTACGTTTTGAAAGGAAAGGAATAGAAGAAATACATTTGTTAGTTTGTGCATGGAAAGAATTTTTTTTCAAGATTTACTTATTTATGCATACAGAACTGGGGTACAGGCCAGAGGTGCAGGAGTGGTGAAAGGATTCACCAGAGACAGTGGGGAGCAGAACAGGCAAATGAATGAAGTAAATTGCTGAAGGGAGCAGTGGGCAGGTCAGGAGAGGTCTGCCGCACCATGCAGGTCACCTCCCTGGCGGGGGATCGAACTTGCCAATAACGCAGCTGCAGTGAGCTTCATGGTGCTGTGCTTTAACCCATTGAGCCACCAGGGAGGGCACTGGAAAGAAATTTTTAAAAGTATGTTCCAGACTATTTCCTGTGAAGGTCCCTAGGGACAGTGGGGTTCTGTGGGCCTTTTTCTCCGTAACAGGTTTCTGAGCTCCTTTCACTTTTCCTCTTAGCTTGTGTGGTGGCTGAATAATGGCCCAGAGATACACAGGTCCCAATCCCTGAAACCTGTGAATGTCACCTTATATGATAAAGGAGACTTGCAGGTATGATTAAATTAAGAATCTCAAAATGAGAGGATTATCCTGGATTATCCTCTTGGGCCCTAAATGCAATCGCAACTGCAGAAGAGAGAAGCAGAGGGAGATCTGAGACAGCAGAGTGTGGCCACTGAAACAGCTCAGAGAGTGAAGAAAGGGCAGTGAGCCAAAGGATGCCAGGGGTGAAGTTCTAGAAGGTGAACGGGCAAGAATACAGATTCTCTCAAATGATCCAACAACTACACTATGGATAGACACCAAGTGAGCTGAAAGCAGAGTCTCAGGGAGGTTTCTATACCCCCATGATGACTGGGGCATGATGCACAATGACTAAAGCACAGAAGCATCTCATGTGTCCTCAACATCCGAAAGGATAAACAAAAGGTAGTATAGGGGCCTCCCTGGTGGTACAGGGGATATAAGCGCAGCACTGTGAAGCTACCCACAGCCAGGGAGCTAACTCATGGCACGGCAGACTGTCTCGCCAGCTGCTCCCCTCAGCAGTGTGTTTCAGTCGATCTGCTTTTGCTCCCCACACTGTGTATGGTGAATCTTCTCCACACACACACACACACACACACACACACACACACACCCCTCTGGCCTGCACCCCAGTACTTGTATGCATGAATAAATAAATACTTTTTAAAGTGGTATATACATACAGCATAATATTGTTCAACCTTAAAAAAGAAGGATACTGTGCACATGCTACAACACGGGTGACATTTGAAGACGTTTTGCTCAAATTGAGCCTCAGCTCCTTTAAGCGTGTCAATTCAACCATGTGATGGCCAGATAGGCCTTATTTTAAGTGTTTACTCTGTGAACCTCAAAGTTTTGAATTATTCCCTTTTAAGCACTAACAAGAGGTCAATTTTCCAGCAGCTGTAAACTTGCTTTTTGAGAAATAGGCTCAGAGACTAGATGAATTGTAACAGATACAGGTCTCATGGATTCCGTCCCACTCTAGATACCAGAACTACAAATCCCATCAATACCAAGGAGAAGCACACTGGGACGTGAGGGTGGATCTGAGCAGCCAGGTTAGGATAAAACTGGACATGTGGGCCCTTCCTGGTGGCACAGCGGGTTAAAGCACAGCACTGAGAAGCTAAAGCCACTACCGCATGAATTCGATTCCCGCTTGCCCCGGAGGTGACCACATGGCGCGGCAGACCTCTCCTGACCTGCCTGCTGCTCCCCTCAGCGGTGTACTTCGTCAATCTGCCTGTTGTGCTCCCCACTCTGTCTCTGGTGAAGCCTCTTGCCACCCCTGAGCCTCTGGCCTGTACCCCAGTTCTGTATGCACAAATAAATAAATCTTTAAAAAAAAAAAAAAAAACTGGACATGTGGGTTCTGGGGCTTTCTTGGCCTGGTGGTTCGCAGCTGGTCGTTTGGCTTTTGATCAGTGTGCTGGTGGAGTCCAAGTCAGCAGAACTGGTAGGACACTCCAGTTAACTTGTATTTCTCTCTCTCTCTCCCTGGGTTGTTCCTTTACCTTTTCCCTTGTAAATAAACCATTATTGAACCTTTTTGTGTGTGTCCATAGTACCACTGAATCTTAACTGTGCGGGTGAGGACCCACAGACAGGCGACCCAATTCACATTGGGGTGCCCTGTAACAGTTCCACATTTTCACTTTATTTCTGACAAACTTTAATCAGGCTTCTCTGAATCTTCTTCTCAACTATGCTTCAAGTTTTGGACTTCTCTCTTATCTTTGCCTGCAAATTGCAAGAATAATACCAAGTCAGTCTAGAGGTCCCCATCCTCATTCTCTGATCACCTTGAAGTTAGATCAGTTTCTCATTCTCCACCCCAACCCTCAGCTATCTGCTCCACCTGCCTGCCCTCAGTGAGAATTCCCTCAAGTGGAATTTAGCCAGACTCACCCACAACCCCTTTTAATTTCCTTTAGTGATTTTTCCATCCACTGACTTTGACATCATACTCCTAGACCATGTACTCCCATTTTTCCTTGTTAGATTAAGAGCAGAGCCTAATTTCTCTGCTCTTCTGCAAAACCTCATTGCAGTAACCCCTATACATATTGCCAAAGTCGCCCTGAATAAAGCCTACATTACCCTTTTAACAAGTCTCAAAGATAATTTTCACTTTTTAATAGTTCTTGCTGACTTGGAAGTTAAATCTGCCATCACTGGGGCAAAAAACTTATAAT